TGTCCAAACGGACGGCTTCGATTTCTTTACGTCCACCTTGTTCGAGACACACCGTTCATAGTCTTGATCTGAATTACAGACTACTGGCCAGCACAACCGTTGATCACCATGCCGCATTGATTTTTTTTTTTTTTTTAATTTTGTGTGTGTTTCAATTTTTATTTTTTATTTTTTTTAAAGGAGTTTTTGTAAGAAAGGTTGTGAAGATGAATGGGAGGAGGGTGTATTATATGGTTTACTATATCTGATTTTTGGTATTTCGAAATATATATATAGTTAATGTGGTTTTAGTTTTTACTGTCATATGGAAAACATGGTCCACTAGGGAACGCAATATTGGCTAATTTGTGAGTCAATCAAGTGAAATATTCGGTGAATTTGAATGCATTGATGGTGTTTCAAAATTCGAAGATATTTTAGTTATTACTTTTCACATCTCTTCAAAGCTATCATAGCATTTTTTTTATTATCTATATATCTATATATATATATATCTATATATATAGGGTCACGCTATAGTGAGAATGCTACTCAGTGAAAGAAATAAGAATAAATCATAGCCATCAGATCAGATGATCCAAGAGCTAAAAAGAAGTCAAAATTATAACTTCATTAAGGGTAATTTAGACATTACCATTATACATCACAACCCACATCACCATGCCACATCACCATACACACACGTAACACACACACACAACACACGCACACACACATCAGCACACACACACACCGACAAACGCACACACTCTGCACACACCTCTGTCTCTCATACAAACACACACACACACACAGTAGGCTAGAACAGCGCACGCCACCGGCCACTCTACACAGCACCGCCGCACCCACCGATCCGGTCGCCGTTGCCGACGGTCGAGAACGCCGGTGCCGTCGCCGCCCCTTTTTATCCACCGACCCCCGCTGCTAAAATCCGACCAGAAGTTCGTCTCCTCCGGCGAGACACACGGCGGCTCCTGAACCTGACGGTCGGCAGAGGTCAAACGGGTAGCGTCGGAGATGTCCTCATGGCCGGCGTCGGGGAGGTTTGTTCCCGACAGGACAACGACGCACACACGCCACACCTGCACACAAAACACGCACACACCCGCACCTGCACACACACGCACCCAGCCGCTCCAAACATCAGACCACCGCCGTCCAGATGCCGCCGGAAAAGACACGGCAGCAGACACAGACACCCGTGACCACACGCAGAAGACACACACACACGGTCTGACCACCCATCCCCCGACACAGCCGGCAGCACCGTTACAGCCGGAATTCAAACACCGTTTCAGCCCCAGAAACCGCCGTTAGCCGCCGCACACCACCATACACCGCCACACACACACGAACACACATGCATGAACACACAAGGAAACACACACACGAACACATCGAATCGAATTTCCTTAATCTCCTTCGAATCAGAGATCCCCAATCTCCGTCGAATCGAATTTTCCCAATCTCAGATGACGCCGATAATTTTCTCCCCTGCGGAAGTTGGAGCGGTGTGCGGGCTTTAGAAATTGAGGATTGGGATTGTTTTTCTTTTAAATATTTGATGAATGCTAGGGACTTAATTGCAGTTTTTAGAACTTTTAATATATTCCAATTTAGTCTATGGGGTAAATGTGTAGTTTATAAGAAGTCATAAAACAAATATTATTGTTTATATAGTTTCTATACATTATACTAAAGTACCTAATAAGTTTATTGAATAAAAATAATACAAAATGTAAAATTATAAATATTTTTTATACTATAAATAATAAATAATTTAGAGTATTTAAATTAATTCATTTAACCAATTGATTAAATTATTTATTCGGTACGGTTTTATATTGGATTGTACATTAAAAAAATCTCTCTGCAAATTGCACCTTAGTGAATATCAGGCTGCACAATAGTGTTAGAATGAATGCACATTAATGAGATTGAGAGCGCACATTAGCATAACAGCATGTTCGTTTTCGCAATTATTAAAGTTTATGTCTTATCAATTATTAAAATTTATGTTATTTCAATGCAGTTGCAGTTTTATTTACAGAAAAAAAATCCAAATAACATAATTGATTAAATTATATAAAAAATATTATTTGTATATTATACATGTATATATATTATTTATTTGAAAAATAATAATATAAAGTATTAAATAACTAAATATAATTACTAAATATATTTTTTATATAAATAATTTGATAAATTCACAATAATGTTAATTAAAATACATTTTATATTTCTTAAATTAAATTCACAATAGTATTCTGTTTTAATTTGGTTGGGACAAAAGTTTGATCTGTTCACACTGCACAATAGCGGACGAAACAGTGCACAATAGTACTGCACAATAGCGGCGAAACAGTGTACAATAGTGATATACAAATTGCACTTTAATGATCGTCTGATTGCACTTTAAAGTCTTTTAAAATTGAAAAGCACATAAAACATATTCCACTTAACAGCCTTCATAATAAGTTTATGCTAAAATGCACATTATTATATGTGAGAATGCACATTAATTTTGAGTATTTTTTTAATTTAGTTCATGACCAAATATGTTACTTATAGAAATATCTCATAAATGCATATTAGTGATAAATAAAGTGTTCAGTGTTTAAAAAATTTTATATATAAAATTTTAATGTATAAAAATATTACAATAATAAATATACTTTTATAATAACAATAATAAATACACTGCAAGTGCAAATAGTATTAGACGAATTGCACTTTAACGTCTATCAAGTTGCACCATAATGTTAAACGAATTGCACATAATAACCGAACTTGAATGAACTAAAGATTTCGTTTCGGATATAGAAATATCTCATAAATGCATATTAATGATAAATAAAGTGTACACTATTTAATAAGTTTTAACATGTAAAATTTTAATATATAAAAATATTATAATAAAAAATATACTTTTATAATAATAAATAATAAATACACTACGAATGTACAATAATGTTACACGAATGCACTTTAATCACTACCAAGTTGCACCATAATGTTAGACGAATTGCACATAATGACTGAAATTGAATGAACTCAAAATTTTGTTTCAAAATCGTATATTTCGGGTCGATTGTCTATTTTTATTTGTAAAATATCAATTATATCAGATCAATATGAGCATTATTTTGTTAAAATAACCAAAATAATCAAACCGACTAACTATATAAAAAATAATATATATATATATATATATATAAAAATATTATTTATTTCATCTAAATAATATAAAATATTAAATTTAAATATTAAAAAAAAAATATATTTTTTTATAATTTAAATATTAAATTATTTATATTATTTATAGTTATTTAAATTTGATTTTAGTTTGAATTAGAACAAAATATTAAAAAATATATGCACTGTAAGTGCACTATAATGTTAGATCATTTGCACTATTTTGTTAGGTAAATTGCACATTAATGACTATCGAATTGCACTTAATCGATTGAACTAATTTTTTTAGTTTGATAATTTGTTTTTACTTCTACGATCACGATTATTTGAGTTTGTGATCGACATTATTTTTTCAAGTAAAAAAAACAAACAAACAAACAAACTTTCTTTTAAATAAAATTTTTTAATTCAATTTATAAAATAAATATATTTTATTTGTAATAAAAATAATACAATATTTCAAATCGATTAACTAAAATAATATCATTAACCGGTCAAATAAACTAATTATTTTAATAAACTAATCGAATTTAGTATTTCAGTTATTTGTTCTATATGAATAATAACATAATTGACCAAAATATTTAAAAAAATATGTTTTTTTATCATGTATATAATATTTATTTTATCAAACAATAATATATAGTATTAAATAAAAATGTAAATACTATATATATTTTTAGTATATAAATAAATTAATTAGTGCACAATAATATTAATTAATCATTATTGTGTAATTAGTAGTATCTATATATATATAATTGCTAGCTAAGCAATAAATTTTACCTAATAAATAAAACCTAATAAATTTTACCTATGTGGCAAATCATTAATAAAACCTAATAAATAGAACCTAATAAATTTTATTTATGTGGCATTAGTACACCCAATCTCATTAATAAAAAAATATTTCATTACATTTTTTGGGTTAATTAAGACAAAAACTATTATATTTTATGTTAATTGATTAATAATTATATTTTTTATTGAATAATATAATAGTTAATATTAAAATTAGTAATTATATTTTATACTAAATAATATATGAAAGTTACATAAAATTATATTTTACACTGAAATCGATATTTTTTTATATGATGAAGATGTTGTTTATTAAAAATTTAATTTTTTTTTATGTCATAGTAAAATTTTTTAAAATCACATAAGCAATTGTTATAATAAATGTAATATTTTTCAGCTAATTAATTGGTCATAATCACTCACAATTATAAAAAGTATATATTTATTACATTTTATGCAATCAATATAGTGATTCGTATACATTCAAATCGTATGTACTATTTATTTTAACCAATGATCAAATTTTAAAATATAATACTATTATATAATTTATAATTTTAATATTATATACATAAATATAACTTATAATACTATATATTTGAAATATAATACAATTATATAACTTATAATTTTTATATTATATACATAAATATAATTTATATTATTTAATTTTATTTATATCAGTGCAAATGCACAGAGTCAAAATACTAGTTTTTAATAACTACATATCTATTTCATTAACTAAAGTGCAAATATGTCAAACATCTTAAAAATTGCCCATAAGTCCCTATATCTAACCTAATTTCCTAAATCCAATACAGCCCTTTGGCCCCTTTCTCTCGTCAACTGTGGAGCACCAAATCTGCAGACAAACATCATCTCCCACCTCCCCTCAAATTGACCTATCAGCCCGCCGCACACCACCACCGTCGCCGCCACATTCACCACTGAACACACCATTGAAGTTCACTCAAACACACATGGAGGACACGAAAAAAAAAATGGCAGATCTGGGGGCATCAGCGGCGCCGGATCTGCACCTGTTCGGCGGTCTGGCAGTGGTGCTCGACCCCGTCTCCTTCACGCTCATGGACATGGTGTGCTTTTACTGTAAGTTATCCGGCCACTTCGAGAACATGGAAGGTGGAGGCGACGTGGTGAGATATCTCAACTCCGGGAGAAGGCGGCTACGGCGGCGACGCTGGAGATGGAGGATGCGTCGGTGTTGCGAAGTTGGATAAATTGGCCATGCCTATATCGAGCAGGGCGCCTCTGTTGTGATCGTCTGGCGGGCCTGTGGTTTCGGAGGCGGCGACCGGCCGTGCCGGCGGCTGTGGGTGGCCTTGGCTGTTCGGCTTGGTGGTGATGATTGCCGGCGGACTCGGCTTGTTTGTGTGTGTGTCGGCGTGTCGCGATTGTGAGTGTGTGTGTTTTTGTAAAATGAGTGTGTGTTGTGCGTGAGAGAGGAGGGAAGGATGAGTGTGTGTTGTGTGTGAGAGAAGGGATGTGGTAGGTGACGGATTTGTTGGGATGGTGGATGTGGGTCCCATTTAAAATATGTGTATTGACCAACTTACCCTTAATTATTGGTCAAATGTACATATTTGACCACACTATAATCAAGTAATTACCAATTTGTCATTAATGATTGACCATAATTTGACTTCATCCTAACCATTAATATGTTTATTCTCATTTCTTTCACTATCTACCATTCTCACGTGATCCTAACTCTCTCTCTCTATATATATATATATATATATATATATATATACTTATATAATAAGGTGTACCATTTACGAAAATTAGTAAGTCGAAAAGTCAATGCAATAAATGCATTACTATTTTGAGCAACATCATATAATATCATATCTATACTTATATAAAAGCAGATTCTATTTATAACATTTACTATCCAGAAAAGTCAACTGCATTAAATACCATTACTATTTTGGTATTATAATATTTTATTTATATAATTGATTTATTTATTTGTTTTATTTTAAAAAAATAAGTATAATAAAAAGATTTTAATAATAAAAAAAATTAAATACCAAATAAAACTGTACACTTTGACTTATTTGATTATATTTGGTATTTGATTATACCAAATATATTCCTATTTAGTATATACATTAAATACTTACTAAAGTATTTATTTGTTTTATTTGTCAAAGTTAAGTATAGATTTGTTTATATTATCAAATCATAAAAAAATATTAAATCCATATTGTAAAAAAAAAAAATCATATAATTTTATAACAATTCTACTACACTATTTAACAATATTCCTTTTTTATTATATAATAAAATAATAATTAAATATTATATGGTGAACAACAATAAGTAAAACTGTTACTTTTTCTTATATCAAGGAATAAATTTGTATGCTAAAATTAAAGTTTTATTAGTATAAATGTTTTAGTGAGATAATATATTAATTATTTTACAAGGTAGCTCTAACATGCTCATATTTAATGTTTTAAAAGATGTAGAAAAAACTTATAATAACTTCATTTTTTTTAGACTTAAACGTTGATTAAAAGAGGTAAAAATTTCTAATTTTTTAGACATAAACGTTGATTAACACCATAGATTGAGAATCTATATTTAGTAAAATTCCTAATTGTAATAAAAAAATTTATTTTTGCTATATTTTAGAATATCTTTAAATGTATTATAAAAAAAAAAACTACAATGAAAAAAGCAAGTAAGTTATATATCGATTTGTTGTACTCCTCAAATCACATTCACAATTTGGCTACAAGGAAAGGAAACTCATTGATTAAAATATTATTTTGTCAGTAGTCTTAATGTACAAGAGACTTTAAGACTCCACTTGAATATTATAAAACTTTTATTGAACATTGTACAGTTTTCTTGATATTATAAACCTTTATTGAATATTGCATCTTATAATATAATATTCTCCAAATAAATATATCCCGTGCTTCGCACGGATCACGTACTATATATATCCCGTACATTTTTCGTTATTCATGTATATAATTATAAGCCTGGATAAATAGCCTTAAAATAGTGCACCCCGTGTACATATATATATATATATAAATCTTTGATTACTTTTTAAATAGTAACTATTTCCCTCCAAAAAAAATTATTTACTATTTCGAAAAATTTATTTAACATAGGTATGGGTTTCAATTTTTATTTCAATTTTTTGGTATAAAATTAGCATAATAAAATTACCGTAACTCTGACAAAATAATAGGAACTCATATTTTGATATAATGTGCGTGTATCGATATTTTTTTTGTAGAAACTCTGGTCATTTTTTTTTATAATTACTGGGTCTCAATTTAATTCATTTTTTGTTACGACAATTTTTGTGAGAAATGCACTGTTCATTTTTTAGCATATAAACAGTGCCGATTTTTTTGGCATAAAAAATATCATGACTGATTGCTTTTACTCAACTACTTAAATTTTTTAATTTTAATATTGTATACAAAAATAAATTCATTTTAATTAATTAAACAATATAATTTTTATATTTATAATTATTATTCACATAGGTTTTTAAATATAGGATAAAATTTTACCAAAATAATTATTTTATGGAATCACTTTATAGTCGAATCGAATTTCTGAATAAAATTTTTGAAATGACACATATTTTGTAAGGATATGATGTAATTTATTATCAATTATGTGCAACGCACGGGATGTGTACTAATTTTAAGTAGACATTTTTATGTAATTTTGTACAATTTAAATTTTATATAACATTTTCAATAAATTATATAGGTACATTGTATTACATATTGATTCCATGTTTCTAATTTATAAATATTATTTAATGAGAACTTTTAATTTATAAATATTAATTACTATCTCTTAACCGTGCATCGCACGGGATTCGTACTAGTATATATAAAAAGAATAACCATTTATTAAAAATAATAACAAAAAAGTTAATGAACGTTTAATGCATACTTTATTTGGACAATTTTTAAATATATGCATTAATTGCTTTAACATAAACATTTTCAAATCAGATATGATCAAAAAGATTCTTTTCTTGTATAATTTTATTAACATATGTAATAATTTTATCGATATTCATTATAATAAACTATAATTTAATTTTTCGTGATTAGTGTTGATAATATTTTTGTCATCAAAAAAATGAAAATAAATTTTAAGTCTTAACCATATTATTAATATGTTTTCACAAATATTGACTTTCATCATAAAATATTTATAAACAATCATAACATGTTAAATAATTATCACTCTAACTAATTAACCTAAATCAAGTTGGTGAATTAATATTTTTCGATAATAGTTTTTAACCTTTATTTAATTATATAAACAAATAATTATTTTAAATTAAAATAATTTACCATTTAAGAGATAATGATCACATCATTAAATAATTTATTAATGGCTAACTAAAAATTAAAATATATTAACTACTCTTTACAGTTTCAACATTTGATTTATTTGTATATTATTGTCAAACATGTTAATTTTATCATTTTTTTTTAATTTTTTGTTTTGTTTCCATAATGAATCTATTGTAAAATACTAAAATATATATTTATATTGCATAGTATGTTAAATAAACTAATAAAGACTTAGGATGCAAATTAGAAAACCTCTTGATTATGTAAGGGTTTATTATTTGACAATTTGCTAAATCAAAGTTTTTTAATTATTATGAGAAAATAAAATTCTAGAAAACATGTGTGTGTATTTTGTAAACATTTATACGCAAAATTTTATTTTAAACTTCGTTACATAAACTAAGAAGAAGAAGGCTACTTCTACAACCTTTATAAATAATAATAACGACATTATATGACAACAAATATTATATAAAATAATAATTGAGTATTAAATGGTGAACAAGAATAAGCATAATTTTTTTTTCTTATATCGTTAAATAAATATATATTGTAGAATCAAATTTATATTAGTATAACATATTAGCAGAATGATATATTAATTAACATATCAACGTTATGGCTAAAATAAATATCACTGATTGGAAGAAGTAGAAAATTGATGATCCAAATTATTTTTTGCCAAAACATACAAGCCCTATAGAAACGACTCAATTAATATATGTCTCGTGCATCGCACGGGCTATGTACTAGTTATTATGAAACAACAATACAGTACCCGTGCGATGAACGGGATCATTATTACCTACTTTATTTTTAAAATGTACTTTTTGTATTTAAATTGTCTCATGACATTACAAATATCATGAAAATGAAATTTATATATTATTGACCACTTTCTTATGTATAACATTCTTAGTTTGATTCCTTGGAACCTAAAATACTATATGAGTATTCGAATTTTATCTAAAATTATGTATTATTAGTTATTAATTAACAAATTACATTTTTTTAAAAAAATAAGAGATCTTTTTTATTAAACAAAATTATAGTAGAAAGAAAGTAGATTTTAGGGTTTTTTCACACCATTTTTTTTTAATTCTAATTCAGAATTTTGGTTAAGTAAAATTGAAAAGAATAATTTATTTTCCTAAAAATTCAACCGAATTTTCCTACCAATACACTGATTTTTTACCAAACAAATTGATCCGAATGTTTGGTTAAAACAAAGTAAAAAAATCATCAATTTTTCCTAAAAACGGAACCAAATTTTTCTAACATTGCAACGATTTTTTTTACTAAACAAATTGAATTGAAATTAATTCTTATAAAAGATCGGAATGTTTTGTTAAGATTTATGCAACTGTTTCTCGGTAAAACATGGTTAAGAAAAACATAAGAATCCAAAAACATCGGTTCATTCAAATTTTAAAAAGTTGAACATGAGTTGATTTGAATTTTCTTTCCAAAATAATTAGATAATGTTTGATTTTAAATGTCAAAGATGAACCGATTTTGTTACCAAAAGGTGGATACGATTTTGAATGTATATCCCGTCCAAATTTTAATTTTTTTAAAATAAAAATTTCACGTAGTTCTATCCAATTTGCACACATTTTTTTAAAGAAAAAAATATTCAAAAAGATTGAAAGAATTTGTTAATAATTATACAACTATTTATTTCCTAAATTTGTATCCAATTTGCACGGTTTTTAAATTAGTTTGTATTTAATTTGTTTTCGTGAATCTCCAAACTTGTCACCGAAAAAATAGGATTCAGGTTTGGTAAAAGAATTAAAAATGATACAAAAAGAAAAATAGGATTCAGATTTTGGCATAAGAATCTCCAAATTTATTACAAAAAAATGAGATTTATATTTTGTTACTAAAGATCTACAAGTGTTTTTTCAAAATTTCTACTAATAGTAAGTCAACTCATTTATTTTTTTGTCAAAGTTGCTAAAAATGATTTTACCAACAACCTTTTTATATTAGTATAGATAAATATATTAATAACTGAAAAAACTCAAAATGAATTCAATCGAGGTGTC